TGGTTTTGAATTGTTTGGATTACATACATGCAAAAGGGCACTTACTGTTGATAAACCGGCCAAACCGCACTTTTTGTACAGAGCATTGTGGTGAACGACCTGTGATCGCTCGGAGCATTCAATTTTAGCGATGAATCCTTCAGCGAATGAATTGATTTTTCAGTGGCTTCTCTAAAGTCCAATAAACTAACACGTTGACGTTACCGCACAATGGTGCGCGGCATCGTCAACGTTTAACAGGTTTAGCAACAATAAGTGCCCTTCTGCATGTATGTAATCGAAACAATTCAAAAACGCGAAAACAAAAGTTTCAAACGCAATTAAGATTGAGAACGCATTTAACGCACAAGAACTTCATTTTTTATGTGCCCTATCGTTCTAATTTGTGTCCATATAATCAACTTAGGCTCAGGGGTTTTTCATGTGGGCCCGTCCGTTTTTTTGACAATCTCCGTCCAATCCATTTGCCTTCTGCAAGAAACTTGTGTACAAAACGCATAGACGAGATCGCAAATGACTCCGCAGCTTTGGTCTTGGCCACGCCCTCGTCAGGCAGGTTTGAGATGCGTGCTGAGCACATCGTGCTCGCTTTGGAAGTAAACAAGGTGTTGTGAGTGTGGATAGCAACCTGTAACATGCGGGGTAGAGAAAATTAGGTCGCCAATGGGCTCCGACCGCCCGGACTGCTACGCACGAGCTGTGATAAAGAGAAATGAGCATTTACTGCGATGTTTGCGCGGGACCTTAACTTTCGGCCAATCAATGTCCTTTACTAAATATGCGGCAGTAAGTTTCTGCCTCAACTTGTTTATTCATTTACTCAGATAATAGCCGGAGTTCGGAAACTCGCGCTTTTCTGCCAGCGGCCAGCAGCACAAAAGTTTCTGCAAGCGCTGATCGAACTTTTAGCAGACGCTCTGGCTCTTTTTAGTTTTGCTCGTACGCGAGCAAAGGAAATACTCTACATGACAGAGGTGCCATCAATGCTTAATTACCCGAGTTTGGGATACTTTCTCTCAGCGGAAAGTACCTACGGGGCGCACTCCTTCACATAGGACCGTGCGACCCTAAATAATTTTGCATATTCTTGCGGAAATTCCGCGAGAATGCGGCCACTGCGCCACAGCTAATCTGTAGAAAAACTGCGATTGTTCTTCGAGCATTCATCTAAAATTTAGCCAAAATTTTTCCAAATATCTTCAAGCGGACCGCAAGAAATCAGCGATCTTTTTTTCCGGTGCCCGCTTACCCAAAATACCCAAAAATCGTATGGCCGCTTGTCCCCGGCGATTATCTGAGTATCTGTTTATTTGGCTAGAGTCGACAGTTGGTCGGTTTCTTCCAAGAAAAAAGAAGGCATATCCATTTTGACGAAAATTCTGCTATGTTTCAAAACTGAGTTTTCTAAGCTTGACTTATTTCCTTAGAAAAGGGCAAAATCTCTAAGATTTCAAAAATCGAAAACGTACATCAATAACTCAAAAACGGCACAACAAAACTAGTAATAATACAAGAGTTTTTGAGACTTACTCATCAGAAAACGGAATGAGACAAAACTACAAGTCAAGCAGACTTAGGGAATGGAGGTATACACTGGAAGAAGCAAACTTTTCATCATTATTTTATGTTTATCGATAAGGGGAGAGAGCGCAGCAAAGGCAGTTTGCTCTTTCAAACACAGCGACGAAAGAATGGTCAAGTAGTGCTATTAGAAGAAAATGGACACCACGAAAAGGCCCTAAAATCAGGAAGTCGGGATAATCTTTGTGATTTTAAAATTTCTTAAACTTCTCTGTCAAAGGCAAAGGTAGCTCTTCCTGTGATAGCTTCCGCGGAAAGTCTAGTCCACGCACCGAGATAAAATAAAAATGTTGAATGCGTACTTCTCATATATACAAGCTTGAAGGATTACTACGCTTCTGACATCACCTGTAGAGCATCAGACTAGCAAGTGAAAAAATAAAACAGCAAATTTCTTTGTAAAAAATGTCTTTCGATAATGTGATGTCCATCTTTGTACACTGCAGTTTGCACAATGTACCAACTTGAGCTCAGTGCAAACTTTGTTCAAGCCCGGCCAATGACATTTGAAGCCTAAAGAAGAGTTACAACGAATTGTTAAATTTATTATTGTCAATTTTCAACTTTATTGTCATGTTCGAAAATATTCATATTCACAAATACCAAAGGCCTTACTTTATTAGCAAAACCAATTGACGTTTTACGCGATATTCCTAAGTATGAAAGGCTGTTGCTGAGCTTCGAAAAAAGTTTACAGTAGTTTGAACCGAAGTCCTAAAAGTCTGCGCTAGTACATGCCTGTAAGTGTTGATGTCGCGAAGCCTTTAACAGGCCCGGCACGGGATGAGCAAATGCCAAGTGGGAAACGTTTTTGGTGGGAAGCAAAGGAGATATTGTAAATATGCTTTTACATGTACAACACTCCCTTGACAATTTGCACGACTGACTTGCAAACACACGATCTTACTCGCGCGTTATCTTTCGAAATCCAAGTTTTTTTTCATTGAGTTGTAATTAATTGTCTCGTTCACTGCGCACACATAAAGATAGCTAAAAGTTTGAAGCACAAACGGACATGAGTTAGGAGGAGCATAGTAAAGAGTATTATGAAAACAATGTGTGACTAGCTTGTAGCAAGCTTTTTTCTGGAGATTTCTATTACCAAGTGATTGAAAAATGGCTCGTTTGCAACGCACAAATACGATATGGTACGAAATTTGTGTGTACGCGAGCTGGACTATGTAACAAAGTACGGAAAAATATGGAAAATTTGTGAATAAATATCATGCTTAAGTTTTTTCCTAGATGGGCAATTGCTCACCTAATGCCCACCTGTGCTAGGCAAAACTTCCATTTGACATAAGTTTTTCATTTTTCAAAATTTGTACACAAATCTGTTCTACACCTAAAGTTTAGTACATAGCAAAGTCCTCGACTCAAAACCACTCCTCTTCTCCTTGTCATGATCCGGAACAGCAAGGACGCCGGTCCTTTTGATTAAGGGCGCTCCAATCGAACAACTAAGCAGAATCAAGTGGGTGATCAAAAATCAATAGTGGCAAAGGAAATGCAAAGTCGTTACATGTCCATTTGCCACCCTCGTGCCGGCCCTGGCTTTTAGGTGTTATAAGCTGCTAGTTTACATACTTTCGACCCACTGGTTCTTCAATCAATCGCTATTCAAATAATAATAATTGACATTCAATTTATGTGATAGATCGGTTTGTGCGATGCACATTGAGCTTCGTTTACCAACAATCTTCATTTTGTTAACGAAATACAGAAAATAAGGTTATTAACAGGAACTTTTCCGTTATCGCAACTATTTCAAGAAAAAAATCAGCTTTCACTGTAGTATTAGGTTGGCTCGAAAGTTCTGGGACATTTCTAGACGAGATTTGTAAATTGCTATTTCTCGAAACTTAATGCATGTACATGCGGCAGAAGTACGATTCGATAGCGCAAAGCAAGCTTTACAAGAAGGTATGCAAAAGTTCGCACCAGCTTACTCAGCATAAATTTGCATCCAATCTGAGTAGTACTAAAGGCTCGAAAATGGGGATAATTCATATCTTCGTTCAAATAAATCTCACGGATCTCCAAGTTGCTCATGCAGATTACACACCACATCAAAAACCCATATATGTATCATTGCTGTAATTTTTTTTCATCTAGAAATTGAGAAAACGTAAATTTTCATGTCTATACAAAACGAAGCTACGCTGCCACTCATGTGATATACAGTACAAGCCCTTAGGAGTATAACGTAAATTTTCAGCCTTCTACGAGCCCTGGTTTTCGAAAAATATTGATTTTAGCATGGAACACCCGAGTGAGGAGAGTTCAACTCGGTAATTTTCGGGAACTAGGGCCTATAGAAAGCTGAAAATTTTCGGCTATACTTCTAAGGGCTTGTACTATACATTCACATGAGTGAGAACAGCGTAGCTTCGTTTTGTATAGACATGAAAATTTACGTTTTCTCGATTTCTAGATAAGGAAAAAATAAGCAATGATACGTATGGGTTTCTGATGTGGTGTGTAATCTGCATGAGCAACTTGGAGATCCATAGGATTTATTTGAACGAAGATATGAATTATCCCCACTTTCGAGCCTTCAGTACTACTCTTCTGGATGCAAACCTATGCTGGGTCGAAGCTGGTGCGAACTTCTGCATAGCTTCTTGTAGAGCTTGCTTTGCTCTATCGAATGGTACCTCTGCCGGATGTACATGCATTAAGTTTCGGGAAATAGCAGATCTCGTCTAAAAATGTCCCAGAACTTTCGAGCCAACCTAACAAATGTTATACTCTCACCCCAGCGGCGTACCAAAGGGAGTGGGGCGGAGGGTGGGGGGGGGCCCTCCCGGGAAACAGGTCGCGAAATTTTTGAAAGTTACTTACATGAGTTAAAAACTTGTGCAAATGACTTTTCTGCACGTGTAGATAATTAAAATAATTTTTGAAATTTTTTAAAAATTTATTTTAACCTCATGAAAAAAATTTTTCTGGCTGACGCCACGCCCCCTTTTTCTGAAATTTCGGGGCTGTGATCTTCGGTAGCATACCAAATCTTAGGTAGCATACCAAAAAATTTTTCTTAGCGCGTGGCTGACGCCACGCATCTTCATCGGACAAAATTTTTTGTCACCCCCCCCCCCCCAGCCGAAATCCTGGGTACGCCACTGTCTTACCCTTTGATTCAACGTTGGCGACTAGAAGTCGATCGCTCGCGCACGCTATGCAGCCATCGTCTCTTCTGCGAAAGTGCTTTCTGATCATCCTTTTGCCTTGACTAGGTCAGGAAGCCTCGCCCTCCAGCCGCCACTCCAGTCAATTTGAAGGTACTTACAATTAGGAGAAGCAGCTTACTAAAAAATTTTTACGACATTGACTTTTGGGTGATGATAACGGAAAAGTAGCGAAAGTCCCTTCAACACATATTAAATAATAGTGAAAAGCTAGCTAAAGAAAAATGCTCAATAAACGAAATTAGAATGGTACTGGTAATAAGGTACTCGGCAAAGTCCTCCCACACACTCGTCCTTGTTGCCAAAGCAGTGTTTTGAGCACTTTGGCCCTTTCTCATAAAGGCTATGATTTCTCTCCGGCCTATAAGAAATAATAGACAATCAGAGCTTAGGGCACTTAAAAGTGGCATTTCATACATCTCCGAATAGAAGCACTGCACGAAATATCTTCTCTTTTTACGCTCCTTTTTGAGATCATCGCACAGATCGACGGAACAGCTTAGATATTCTTGATATGAAAGTGCCATCTAAAATGTGCCTTATAGTAAAGGAAAATCCAGCGTTTAAGAGAGTTTGTTAAACTGCTATGCATACTATTTTCTCACCGGAAGAAAATGCTTGTGCTTTTTGAGATAGTTTTCAATTTGGAGGCTCTCCGGTCGAGGATATTTCTTTACTTCGTTCCACCATTTTGAGATAGCCTAAAATCCAGATCAATCCTTTTCAGTCACAAATGATTTGATACAAATCAATCACCCTTTCAAGAGCATCAAGCTTGCTGGACGCATTTACCATGCGTGCGTTCCTCATACCAAAGATTGAACGATCAAAGTCATCAAATCTGCATGTCTTCTTTTGCGCTCTTAGCCTCTTTGTCAGCAAACAGTTTTCCTTCTAAAAGTTCGATTGCAGAAACTCTAAAGTGCGGTTCATAATTATACGAACACCCAAAATTTTGTAAGTTTTCGGACTTTTTGGGAGAAACTCAAAAAGCCGTTGGTACCACGCGAAAGAGCACAACCGAAAACGGTATGTGATCCAAAAAAATGGAAATTGATGTCAATCTTAGGAGTGTTTTTGCGCCTAATGCGAATTTTTAGCGGTTCATAATTATACGAACACCTCAAACAAAGGTCCATTTCTCATCCGCGAGTGCAATCATTTGAGCCCAAATTTTTTGTAGAGTTACAGTAATAAAGTCTGAAACACCTGCTACACACTGAACCCATTGAAGTTCATAAAAAGGACCGTTACTTTTTTCAGAAGGCTCTAAATGCTTTTGGAGTGATTGCGCTCCAAAAACATCCGTTCTTCTGTGGTTTACGCACTCTAATTAGCTGTACCAAGGCTATGAGATAAAATAAGCTCTTTCGATAGGTATTTCGTTTGATGCTTGGAAAATCTTTGCGTTTTCGTGCCGTTTTTCAACCAAGTTCCATCCCAACCCTAGAGTTAACACGATTTCGAGCCTCAAAACTCAGCTTCTGTCTTGCGCAAACATCTGATATGAAGCAGCTGCATTGCTTGCATGATGATGTTTTTGTGCCAAAGTTTTTGGGTTTTATGTAGAACTGATCTTGAGGCTGCGGAGCTACAAACCAAATAGAGGTGTGATTGCAATAGTAAAAACAGTGTTTTTGGTGAAATGACGTCTGCGTGGCCAAAACAAACGCTCAACGCTGCTGATTTTTTGTAGCCAAATATACAGTCTTGTGAACTTCTACATACTATATGCTTACTTCATTGTACGGCTTCAGAAGCTGAGTTTTGAGGCTCAAATCGTGCTAACTCTAGGGTTGGGATGGCACTTGGTTGAAAAACCACGGAAACGCAAAGAATTTTCAAGCGTCAAACAAAATACCTATCGAAAGAGCTTATTTTATCTCATAGCTTTGGTAGAAGCTAATTAGAGCGCGTAAACCACAGAAAAACGGATGTTTTTGGAGCGCAATCACTCCAAAAGCATTTAGAGCCTTTTGAAAAAAGTAACGGTCCTCTTTTAGAACTGCACCGGGTTAGTGTGTAGCAGATATGTCAGACTTTGTTACTGTAACTCTACAAAAAATTTGGACTCAAATGATTGCAATCTTGAATAAAAAATGGACCTTTGTTTGAGGTGTTCGTATAATTATGAACCGCTAAAAATTCGCATTAGGCGCAAATCACTCCTAAGATTGACATCAGTTTCCATTCTTATGGATCATATACCGTTTTCGGTTGTGCTCTTTCGCGTGGTACCAACGGCTTTTTGAGTTTCTCCCAAAAAGTCCGAAAACTTACAAAATTTTGGGTGTTCGTATAATTATGAACCGCGCTTTATTAGGTAAACTTGCTTCTTACCAATTCCATCATAAATGCTGCCCTCCACATGTACCAATTTTTCGTTCTTACATTCCCTAGTGCAAGTTTCGATCTGAAAAGTGTTGTCTGAGAGTAACACCGTAACCTACCAGTTTTCTCATGATTCCGTTCACTTCACTCTTTCAACAACTTCCATTTTTCTCAAATCTCATAGGAGTTTTGGTGTACTTTTTGAAGAGCAAAACAAGTTCTAGAAAATGGTGAACAAACATACGCAAAATTCTTTCCATATCAAGTTGGAATTGATTATAATCCAAAACTGGAAAAAGTAAAACTCTACTTTGAGAACTCATAGGGACCTATAAACTGATTCACGCATGTTATTTCTATTACTCTGACAGTTGTTGCAAAAAGTAGAAACTGACAGTGAGAAAAGAAATAGGTCACATTTACGGAGTCAATTTTTCCCGGTTTTTCAAAATCAAATCTGACTATCTCAAAATTTGTGGTTACACCAAAAGGCTTAGGCATTAGAAGCACTTATGTGAAAACTGCCCGATCTTGATAAAGACATGCCAAATCTCGTCTTCTAGATCTCTAATACAGCAGATGTGCTTTTGAATGTTATATAAAGAGTTTGATATAAGTGAACAAGTTCAGGAAATTCTTAAGCAGAATTCTGGATCTTCCGGGTTTTGGGCTACCTTTTTTTAGATTCTGTTTTCGAACTTGTTGTTGAACGAACTTTGTGTGTATGTTTAGGCACTACTTTGTAAAGCTCACATCTCTCTTTCAAAAGGTACCCTCGCACTTTTGAAAAACAAGAAGAATGAGAGTTATTGGATGAAAATTGGGAACGAGCGGACATTTAGGACAACCTGGTACAAGAGTTTTGCATGCTAGTAGCCGCCGTTCCGATGATACTTAATCGAAACTTTGAGTAGTTGCATCGAAACTTTCTTAGGCTTGGATCTTTTTTTCTCAATCCAGCAAGTTTTCGCTCCATGCTATGGAGCGATTTTACTGCATTACTTACCTGCGCCTATTGTGTTCCCAAAGAGCATGTTTCATCAGCTTGTCGGGTTTACATGCTAAAAAATTGGTAATTATTCTGGAATCGCGAAACATAAGTGAATGGCGTATAGCATCCGTAACTATTAGGGTGGTCGGAAAGTAATGGGACTAAGTACTCGGAGAATAACTGAAGAGTTCTTTAGAAAGAGGACTCATTAGATGCTCCAATCTTGTTAGATTTTAGAACATATTATTTTCTCTCAACCAAAATCTACATAAGGCCATTTATATGCTCAACAATTCTTAAACTTGCTGAAATCCGGAGTCAATCGCTTTGACAAATTATGAACCTTGAGCAGTATCCGCGCAGTCAAGCCCACGAGACCATCCAGAGTACCACTGCTGCAATGAGGGAACCTCCCAACCTACGACTGTTCGTTAATGTCAGCGCTTTGAGTCAGGACAATGACCACTAGCTGGTTCGAGAACGGAGATAGTTATAATTTACTTCTTTGCGAGCAAACGCAAGTTTATTGGTTGCCGCTCCAATAGAGCTCTTTATGCTCTATCCATCCATATGTAGGCTACCTCAACTTTCATACGTCTTCACAAAATGTAGGCTAAAACATGATTTTCGCTCTTTTATTGTGCTCGTTGTTGATCGAAACAAAAACCTCGAATTGTAGAAAAAAATCAAGCTGTCCCATTAGTTTCCGACCACTTCAATTTATAGACACCTTAGATTTCTAAACTATTTCAATTGCAAGAGAATTTTCAGATAACGAATGCCTCAGAAGGCTGCCTGATAAGATGGCTGTTTCAGTTTATACTTCAGAATGACATACCTGCACTTGTTTTCTTCGCAACTGATGCAGTACTCACGATCTGAAGCGCCTGAAAATATCTGCAGTCATCATATGGCCTTTTTAAACCTAAAAGCTTTTCCTTCAAGAGACAACTCAGTGGTCGCTTGCTGTATCAATGGTTTATGTGAGACTAGCTGGCACCCCGGCGTCGCCCGAGACACGGTTTCATTCAGTCCATACTGCATTCTCGTGTTTAAGAATAGCCTACATGATTTTTGAAACACCGCACACTCATCACATGAAATTGGACTTCACTGTCCATGCTGACATGATGCTGACATGGGCAAAATGCCTTTGAAGCATGATAAGCTTTCATCTTCCAAGATGTAAGTAAACAAGTCGATAAACCAATAGAGGGACCCATTGAAATCACCGCGAAAAGTCGCCTACGGTAAACCGGGAAAAAACTAGAGTGTGCAAAGTTCCAACTAACAATAAGTTGGTCCACTCAGGGAAATTTACATTGAAAACATATACATATTGTCATACAAACAGACTTTGAGTATGTATAAATAAGCTGGCAAACCCGGCTTCGCCCAGGCCTGTCAATAATGTATTCCTATCAGCATTTCACTTACCCCCTCCCCACCCTGCCCCTGCACACCCGCACAATCCACACCCTGCACACCCTGCACAACCTGCACAATGGGCACAAACATACAAATTTTCTGCTTCATTATATAGAGATATAGATAATAAAATGAGGATAAATGGGGGATATAATAAAGAGATTTTTGACAGCTAAGCGAAGCTAATTTAGAATAGCTTCCTTTAGGACTCCAACAACGATGTGGAGCACGAAACGTCAGACAATATAGTGCGTTCCAACAAGCAATTCAGCATATATTAATGCGGAAGCTTTGTGCGAACTTTTTGAAGCTAACTTCTAGCGCTTGCTTTCTGTCGGATGGTACCCCGCACCCTATCAGGAATATAAGAACGACTGACTCATGTTGGTGAAAAGTCAGGTATGAAAAAACTTATGGGACCCTAATAGTTGCACTGCTGTCCATGATAGATAGTACTCATAACATTGCTACGAAGCCTTTATCGCAGACACTTTCCTTTCTTTTTATGGATATCAAAAATACAAACGTTTGCCGAAGTCTACCTATTGGCGGAGTTACTAGCTCCATTCTGCACAAGTAGAAGGTTTACACAAATTAAGGTGAGGACTTGGTAGGCGATGTATATTGCCCATAAGCTCTAATCTGTATTTCAAATATGCGTTGATAAAAAAGGTTCAATAATGCGGTCACTTTCTCAAAGTGACCGCAAGCCATAGATCTCTTGATGCTGTATACCCTTTTGCTCATTGAAACACTGTTTCTTTATTAATATCTCAAAGTTTGGGTACAAGCTGCTTGGAGTCCCCTAAAAACAGAGAAACGGACGTTCCACGAAACATTCTTGAAACAGAACAGAACATCTATTTCTATTTATTTCTACAATTCTTGAAACCTTTTCATTTCACTTTTTCAACCTTTTCAACCATTCAGAGTGTCCTTTCAAACTTTATTGTGTTTAGCGAATAGGTCAAACTGTTCCTGTGACTGTACAAAAAAAAAACAGATATGGAAGGCTTGAGTAGATTAATTTACATGAGGTGTTTAATCATGGACCGCAAAATTCGTATTCCGTGTGGTTTTTTTTAAGACACCAAGATTTTGGCTACACTCTTTTACGTAGCACCAACGTTTCTTGAGTATCTTGTAAAAAGCCTTGAAACACCCAAAATAGGGGGTGCTATATATTACTATACAAGTATATTTGAACATTGTCTACATTAGTAGGTTGTCGTTAGTGTTTGAAGTGAAAGATACCTAAAAGCTACGAAAATCATGTTTCTTGCTTTGCGAGTAGACGTGATTCTCAATCGCATCTCTTATCTTATTTCTTCAAGCTTTCTAGAAGAAAAAACTGCAAAAAAATGTAAGTTGTACTGGAACAAAGGCACACTTTTTTGAGGTCAAGTACTCTGAAGGGTACAAAAAGCAATTTCGATTTCCTGAAGGCTAGTCGCATTTGGAAAAAACGCGTCATTTTCTGCATAGATTGTGAGTGGCATGGTAAGAAAAACCAAGACCTCTTGTTATGGACGACGCTAAATTTTAGTATTGTTCTCTTACCTGCAAGAAGATGACAACTGCGAGCATGTTACTTGAAGAGATCATCATTGGATGATCGAGCAGTGGCGTCCTTTCTGTTGGAAATGGCACCAAATTTAACCTTTTAAATAGGCGATCCAGTATCCCACCCTCAACAACATTCCATTCATACTGCGCTTTTTATAGATACGCTTTATAGATGCGAGCCGGTCAAAAGTGCAATAAACTACGCTTTTCAGCGAATATTTCAATTTAGATTCCAATGCAAAAATCTTCCTTCCTTTGTTTCATTGAAAGGCTTGACTCCTACGTTTGATTAATTTGTTTTTCCCTTTGCCAATTAGTTTCGAGTGCTTATTAAGAACATTACGAATTTTACGAGATAAAAACTGTGAAAAACAGCGATTGCAGGTTTTTAAATTATCAGCGTATTAGGCCCTAAGCATACCTCACGCGATTTCGGTTGCGGCGCATTTGGCAAGCTCCAATTGCTCATAACTACCTCTCACCTCTATAGGCCTCTATAGGTCAGTACCTTGTCTCGTAACTACTCACTATGCTCACTTATCCCCATGTGCCAACTTCCAACGTCGTTCCCCAAAATTTACGAAGAAAACGATAAAATTGTTGAAGGTACTCGATAATAGGAACTAATATTGTATTCGTAATCAGCATGCTTACTTACCCCTTGTACCTGCTTCCAGCCCCTCTGACTTTGAAGAAAAATCGATGAAATCGATAATAGGTCGCTAATTTTGAAACCTAAGTTTTTATTCGTAATCAGCAAGCCCGCTTCCCCCCCCCCCCCCCACAGTTCGACTTGCTCTGTTATCATATTTGAGTGTGAGCAATCTGCCATATTAATTTCTCGAGACGTTTAATTTTGCCGAGCCACCGCCTCTATGTTGTTTCAAAATAGGGTTGCTCTAAGAAATGAACGTAATTGTTATTCAAAAGGCAACTTGCAAAGTCAAAGTAGCATTGGTATTTGTATCAAACGAGTGCTCGGTCGTTGCAAATAAATTTATGACTTCTTCGTCGCTTTTCGGGCCATGGCAAGAAAAATCGACAACTACACCTCCATGAGCTGCCAATGGTTAATCGGCGTTCTTCAAGACGTAGCCGCGCCATACCATCAAGTGCATCGTGCACCGGGCGAAGCAATAGTGCTCAACTTCCTCATCTTGCTATTTTTGACTCCAAAGTGGATCGAAAAGCTCGCTGAAGTTTGATAAAACACATGGTGGGTAGATATAAGATCAATAATAATGCATCGTTTTAGGACTCTGAAGACGACGTATAGTCGAGACCTTAGCACCCTAATGTAATGCTTTATTCAAACAAAGTGCCCATTCTCAAAATTACCAAGGTAACTAGGGAGGACAAGAAAATCGCAAAACAAAACTGAGGAGCTGGGATAATTCAATTATATCTTAACACTTCCATATTAGTAACACTCGAGGACGGCCGCATTCAAATTTAATCGGAGCAGCAGCGCCGGAGGAGGCCTCTGAAAAAAAACGAGCAAGTTGAAATGTCAGACCGCCACTAACAATAAACACCTATTAACCTCGTCGGCTTACTCACATGCTAACATCGATAAGTTACTTTGAGAAACCTACTGTTATTATTACACCAGGCCTAAAAAATTGGTTTAGGTTCTCTCAAACCAAAAACACCTAACCCAAATAGAACATGGAAAGAAGGGCCTTCGAGATTTGAGCAAGCGATTAGCATTGAGGAGTGCTACCACACATCTTAAGGCGATCCAATGGTCGGTATTGGTTCAGCTGGTATCGACCAACCGTTCCTCGTAATTTTAGAAATTCTTTCATATGTATTTCAGGTTACCAGAGAAGTGATTTCCCTGTGAACACAAGTTGAACTCTCTTAAGCTTCAAATCACCTTTTTGCATGCTTGAATTCAACTTGGGAATGATAATCGAAGTGTAAAAGCACACTATCTTTGTACGTTTTATCAAGATTGTGTAACCGACTTTCCGGTTGTTTAAAGCACAAATTCCGAAGGAGAGGAAGTGCGATCAGTGCAAGAGGCAAAAATTAATTGTGTATTACATAGAGGTGAAAGCTACAAATATGACATTACTTAGGAAAGGATTGTGCATTTTATTATATAGTG